TACTCGAGCAAAGTCAAACTTTGGTAATTTTAAAGAGGGGAGATCATTCCTCTCCATCTATCCGTAAACGTAACACGTGTCCGCTGAGTTCAAATTCAACGCATAAGACAAACAAAAAGACGGAATGGTAATCTAATGGTAATCTAATATCGTGCATCGTACTATAAAAAAAAATAAAAAATAAAAAAATAAAAAAAAGAAAGCGAGACAAAGCGTTGGATACGAAGTATCAAACTCGGGTTAACAAAATCGCAACGGCGCTTCAAGTGAAACAACACAATGCTAATCTCGCTCAGGAAGCGCGACAGGCTGACCCGTATCACTGTGTGGCTCGCGTAAACTGATAAAGCGGCGAACTTTACGGATGAAAGCGTACGATGGACCTTCCACTTTTCAACAAACGTAGCTATTCAAAGGGCCCGTTCGAAATCGAGCCGAGATGCCCACCTATGCATTCTTTCCGCCGGCGTCCCGTATCTGCCTACGATCTGAGCATTTGTCTCCCCACATGACACCATGTCTGCCCGGAATTTCGAACACTCGTCGATGATAATGGCATGTGGAGAATGGCGGAGAAACGCGGCAACCCCTACGAGTTCTATTCCGACAGAGGACAATGCCGAAATGTTCCCAAATGGTACTCAACCGAACAAGCTCGAGTGTTCCATCGAGAATTGTTACTTGTAAATAGGAGCGAGAAATATCAAAAGGTTGTGCACGAAAATTTAATTTCTTGACGCGAATCGTTCATACGAATACAGCTTCGATCTTTTCGAAATCGATGAATACGATCGAATAGTATTTGAAAATTCGCGATGGAAGCGAATTTTATTTATCGACTATCTCACTCGCTCTGGAAATAATCTATGAAACTTTTCCGTTCCCTGATTAAATTTGTTAAATTGAAATTCGGGATATTCACGACGAGCACAAATTCTTGAATCTGTATGATCTTGCATCGTGAGCACGACAGAGAACCGCGATGACTCGCGCGCCTTTGATCATCCCACTTGTAGTCGTTGTTACGTACAGAGAATTCCGACAGAGAATTCCGTGAAATTTACCAGTGACAAGGGAATACGGAATTCACTTGGAACCAATAATAAACATTTAGGATAGGACACCTCGTATCGGAAACGTACGCCGAGCAACAAGTAAAACAAGGGAAACTCGAAACTGTTTGAGTTTCGATTATTCTATTCTGGCAAACAAGTGATACGCATCTTCATATATATAATTTGACGCGATGTAAGGGCTATCACTGATAGGAGCATCATCGATTTGCATTAACTGTCTGTCCGTTATCATTCCATTGCTCCATTCTAAGACGCATACGTGAAATTACGTGTTTGGCAGAATATCAAATTCCAACCCCCTAAATCGAGCAGTAAACCGAGTTATTTTTACTAAAGATCTTCTACAGATTCTCTCGGGGGGTCGTGATGGGTCGTATCATTTCTTTTGCGTGGAAAATGCATTCTCGTGGGAATGCATTACATACGAGAGGCGTAATAATTCACTCACCTAAGCCCTGATAATACGAGATTCTTTAATGCAAAAGTTTCCACAATCGAAGATTACCCCGAGGCCCGAGAAGTTACCGGGAAAAGAAAATGAAAATGAAGCAAAAAGTTAGAATGGCACAAAAAGACGCCAAATAAGCGTGAAGCTAGATAATTGTGTGCAATTAAAGTCGCCACCCTGGACGTATTCATGGCTTAGAAGAACAAATTCGAAGTTTCCACGAGTCATTTCCCTGACACTAAATTCTCTCCACCTGTAAACAAAATGATTCTTTCTCCAATCCATTAAACTACGGAAAGATTACGATGTAAAATATATTATTGCTCGGATTATTGCTCGAATTTTTAACATTCCACCACCGCTATTCCCAGCACCATCTATCTATCGTATTTTTTTCATAACGAAACATATCCGTTGCGCATTTTTACTCCAATAATTAAGTAATGGAACGAAGTATATTATATTCAAAAAATATTTTCAAAAAATTCCAATCCCTCCCGAGAATTTTACCTTCCTTCCGTGTTTCTATCGAAATAAATAATCCGCAAATATATATATATATATATACTGCTTTTAATGCATTTTTTCCATTAAAATGATCGAGAGATTCATGGAGGTCCGATATGCAAAATATCATTTCCATCCGGTTCAAAGGTAGATGAAGAAGAATCTTATAAACGGCTCGAAATACAATTAAATCAGATACAACGATCTCAACTTTTCTCAATAAGGTTGAAGAGAAACGGGTCTGATGAAGAAGAGAGCGGAGGCGAGAAGAAGAGAGAAGAGACAGAAGAAAAATATATACTTACAATCAGTAACTTGATTTTGTTAACCAAAGGGGATGTCGTAAGGAACTTGTCGATGGCCGTAAATAGTTTCCCTTGCAGCATGGCAGCGTTTTCGGCGTCTCGTTCTTGCGAACATCCGGGCCTGATGTCCGCTTCTCCGGGGCTGGGCAACAACCCCCGGCAGTCTTGCGGGAAATCGCTCTTCTTCAGTCTCCTCGCGGGCCCTCGTGGCTCCTCCTCTCTTCCACCTGCCGCTTCTTCAAAGATCACGCTTTGGACGCCTTACTTCTATCCGCATCGAATGCCGAATCTCGAATGCCGATTCGATTCTCTTAAAACGTCCAACGAGACGAGCCGATCCTTTATTCTTCGCGGCACGGATATTTTTCTTTTCGGCCGAAGCGAGAAAAATGAATTGGTCCGAAAGAATCAGCAGAGGCCGCGCTTCTGATTTTGTCACGCACGTAAATGGATCTCGACGGTTTAAAAGATGCTTATCGAAAGAATTTGTCGTCGAGAATTTGTTCGTTTGTCGAGCTTTGGTTGAGCATAAGATAGATTCGAGAGCGAGGAGATTCAAATTTCTGGTATGATGGAGAATATCGGTTGCTCGACAGATAAATGTGTTGCGGTGTCTGTTTTATTCGAGAAGATTGCGCCGAGAAGATCGATCGACGATTTGGCGCAAGAACTTTGGCCGTGGCTTTCGAATGAAAACAGCTTGAAAATATAGCTTGCCTCGATACCACTGGCTCGCAAGATCTAAGGATTCGTGAATGTCGAAGGGTCCTTAGGGTCCCGGCGGTGGCGCGTTCTCGACATGGACTGAAGTCCGGAGCGGGCCGATGGATGCTGCGAGTTGCTCCAGAGGCAGAAGAACGCGCGCGCGAGAGAAAGCCGCGCGTGTCGAAGGGGGAAAGAGACAGAGAGCGGGAAGAGGGGAACGGTGGACGGGCGAGGGTGAGAGAAACGGCTAGGAGAGAGGGGTTGGTACGTGGAGATCGAGAGGGGACCTGTGTCTATTCAGGAAGGGAGTGAATGGGAGGGAAAGGAGGGTTCACCGAGGGTTGGGTTTCAACAAACGCCACTAGTTGCTGGTAACCCTTGCATGTTTACGCGGATGACGTTCTACACCGGTTACCTATTCTACTTACTAATATTTTAACGCTTAAATTTTAAACGAAAAATAATTGAAATAATTTCAAATTACGAATTAAATATAATTTTGTTAAGCAATGATCGATAAGCGAAATCAAAGTTTAATTCAAATAGATTCATCGTCGAACTACTGCGTGTATATAACAAGAAAAACGATTCTTTGTGTTCAAACGTACCGTGATTTTGTATTTATGATTTCTCTTTTTGTTTCGTTTTTTTTTAAATATCAAAAGTTGAACGAGAAAAAAGAAACGAAAGAATGGTATTCAGACACGAAATTCTATTGTTCGGATATTCAATGACAAAGGGAATAACGACGTGAACGACAAAAAGTTGCTTGCAATTTTATTCTGTTCCACCATAAAATGAAATTGTTCAAATATTATTCTCAAAAGTGTTTGAGATTCATGTAATTTGTATGGAAAACGAATGATGGGCAGTTTATATTTAAATGCGTAGGGGGCACGAGTTAATAAGCGTACGCATCAATATCAAAATACATTGTTTCGATGTTCGGTAAACGAACAACCCAGGTTAGTCGCATCGAATCGAAATTCAATTTATTTCGTACATTTCGTTAAAGAGATTTGGGTCAAAATTTCGTTTGAAATTGCTTTATATTCAGGATAGAGATTATACGGTATACGGCGACTGGGAAAGCAATGATTGCAGAAACCACAAAATCTTTTACTTTATAAAATTTTTAATCGATATTCAACTATAACAACTATATAAATAAATGAAGTGGATGTATCGTATTTTCGTTTCCTTTCGTATCCTAACTAAAAATGGGATGGAACATTGTGAATTTGGAATTTTGGGTGGATCTCATTATCTGCTATAATTAAATGTCTCGCATGAATATCTTGTTTTATGTTATTCTACAATAGAACGTCATCCAACGAAAGTTGGGAGGGCAGATAATTAAACCTAGTTGCGCTTGTTTCATCCTGTAAAAATAATGCGAGAAATAAAAATAAATGAACAATCTGTCTTCAATTGATGACACGTTGGTTATCGTGTTTTTTTTCCATATTTCAGATAAGGAACGAACGTTCTAACAAAAACATTAAATATTAATTATAGTTAAAACCCAACTTAAAATCGATTTAAGATTTAATTTGTTTTTAAGTAAAAAAGTATACGTCATTCCAATTAAAGATTATGACACTGAACTGCATTAAATCATATACTTAATTTTTGAAAGTTTTTATCATTCTAAAGTGATATTTAAAATTTCCTGAGCGTATCAAGATATAAATGATATTACAATTACTATTGCGTCATCATCGAATTTTTCGAAGAATAATAAATCGAAGTTGATACTTTTCCATATCAAATTTTTTATCATTGTGTAAGGAGAAATTTATGCGATTTATGATACGAAAAATGATTAAATAGTATATTCAATTATTCTTAGTTTGATAATAATTTTATTTCAAACTGATAAATAATCCATTAATTATACAAAATATGAATTATATATAATAATAAATCCTATCGCAAGTACAATCTTTAAGTCAGAAATTAAGTAAACATTTTAATGAAATAATGATTCAATTAAATATCTAAATATCTAAATTAAATTAAGTATTTCGATACTCCTTATATAGGGTATAGTTGAAAGTTCGAAATTGTGATACTAGTGCTGCCACCTGCCCACACTTGTCCAAACGCAAACGAATTTTGTATCGACGAAAAGTAACATTACGTTCAATATATTTTTCGTATATTCATCAATTATAATCTCACGCATCCACCATTCACGCATCATCCATATAGAATAGATATAGATAATATATCACTGATATCTATTTTAAATTACGAAAATACATATTATATCCTATGTCGAAGAACAATTATGTATATCATCTTTCCTATAGTAGAGTAGAAGGCATTATAAATTCTATTTCTGTTTCGGCATTTGTCAAAAGTAATTTTCCTCGCGTAATATCACAGGTATAGGTACTCGGTAGTTTAATCTTTTAAGTTATCGTTTTTTTTTTTACAAAAGCTTACTTATGTTCGAAACATTCTCAAATATTATCATTTCGCTATATTTACGACACAAATAATCTACGATCTACGATGTTATCAGATATTATCAGAACGAACTCAATCGAAGTGCAGTCTAAATATGAATATAACTCTCTTATTCGAAAGTTCAAGAGTATGTTGTGTGTACATTGAATCGATGAAATCATTGTCTATTTCCATACATAATTAACGAGAACGATAATAAAGAAATCATTTTTCTTGTATGGACTAGTATACTCACCCGATCTATAGCGTTTTGATTTGCAAATTATTGATCGTCAGAGCATCAGAATTATCATTGCATATCATCCGGAGGACGTATCGCCAGGGCCAAAACTTGTTGCATCTGTATCCGGACGTCGAGTTTCTTCTCTTCCGGTACTTGTCGGATGATCGGTAATAAGGAGAGCAGAAACATTTTGTCGTAGTCGTCCTCGTCATATGGAACGCGTTGGCTGCTGTGCGACGACAGGATATCGTGAATTTCATTATCGAAGGACGTGAACGACGTTTCGCAAAGCTGCTTCGGATAACGGGGGCACATTTTATAGGACGCGCCAGGTTGAAGATATTCCCTGCCTGTCGCAATGGAGGGAGCAGCATGGGCCAATGGTACATCGTATTCCTCGATCACCGGATTGTCAACTTCGCCCTCGCTTTCTTCGGATTTGCAATTATTTAACGTAGTGCCAGCATTTCTGTAATGTATACGAATATAACTATAAATGATGCGCCCTTTAAATATGAATGTTTGGACAATTGAATGATACTAACCGTTTGTTTTCCACCGTTGGCATCAAAAACAATAACTGATCAAAATACATATATTTCTTTCGTTTTCGACCAGCTGGCCCTAATTTTTGGGATTTCTGAAGTTTCAATTCTTTCATAAAATAATCACGGATATTTCTCCATTTTCCTCGTAAATTTTTTTCTGAAAATTATGAAAAATTGTTGTACGCGATAGAAAAGTTTAATATTATAAATATGGGAAATAGAATTGATCTCTAATAATCCTCAATCTTAAAGAAAATCTTAAAAAACAATCAATCATAATAAAAAAGCAAGATATTTTAATCTTTTTGTTCTTTTTACTTTGGATTACACAATTATTATTTCTTTAACCGATGAACGGAGGAAAAAAAATTTGTATCATCTAATTCTAAATGATTGTAGGTTGATTTAACTCGTGCTCGAATAAATGCGAGTCGAAGAATCCGGATCGATCGATCGCAAGAGGCTGTGTACCTTCTGCGTATCTCTCCTCGTCCGTCAAGAGTGCCCAATTCGGTACCATCACCTGGCAGACCTCGTCCCACGCGGTCATCTTGGCATTACGGTCGTTGTACTCGCTACGATTTACATCGTAAATTGCCGGTCGTTTCTCGATTTCCTCGATAAATTTTTCCGTATCAAACATATCGTGTGTCGCGCGAAGGTCAAATTCACCCTAGAGGTTTTCCGCTTTTTACCCCTTTCTTCTCCTACTTGTTTTTCGATAACTTTAAATGCTTTCTTTTTTTTTTTATTTCTTTTTTTTCTTTTTTGTAAATCAAAGAACAGAAATCGACTTAATAGCAATTGCAAAAAAGATATGGCACAATCTCGATTAAAAAGTTTCAATAATTGAACGAGTAAGATATGTAAGATATCGATTTAGATTAAGACGAGCGATCGCACCAATCAGCCGATTCGCGGTAAATGATTATCATGAAAACTCGTGCGTAATTAATGACGAAAATCGAGGCACGGAGATCAAGGAAAGAATTGGAAAAGAATTTTTTTGGACGGAACGTTATGATACCGCAAGTGATTTCGCTTGTGTACGCTACGCCGTCGCCGGCAGCTTGCGCGTCACTGCGGAGAAACCGTTGTACGGCTAGCTTGGTTTGGCATCATGGCGCTAGGCTGGCGTGCGGTTGCGGTTGCGGAGCGGAATCTATGCCGCTGCTATGCCGCAGCGTTGCCAAATCTACCCGAGACTGAAAAGACGGTGAAACCCACGAACACGTCGCGATTGCCTCCTTTCCTCTGCATGAATGTGTGTGCGACGCGTCCTCGTTGGCCGGTCGTCGCCGCCGCATTTCCAATGCGGTGATACTGGTGCGCATCGACCGCACCGGATTTATAATAATGCCGCCGGAGAAACCGGTGATCGGTTGGAACCGGTTGTAGGAGTAGTTCGATATTCATGCGCGAACAAATACGTAAATCGTTACTATAAATAGATTACCTATGGAATTATCGAAATTCGATGTGTAATAATTTAATATTGCATAAAAGAAAATACAAAAGTAGTTGATAACCTATATGTTTGTTTATATCTTTACGAGTACGAGGGAACGTTTAACACTGTTTTGTTAATATGAGATGGTTACCAATGGATTGCGTTTTTGACGTTGTTGATGCGGAATTCTCCGCAGGTTTCGACGTTGCCAGACATGATAGGCGTGCAAGTATACGTTGAAAGTGGCACGTTGCTACGCGATCATAGATACCGTGCTGAACAGGAATGGACGCGGACGCGCCGCGGTCACGTCGTCGCGTTTCCACCGCGCCATTATCGACCATGTCCGGCCGTTTGGCAAACGTAGCGAAATCGACGCCGGCTATCCATTGAATGAAACGTTATATGATCTTATCTTCCTTGTAGATCTTGTAGAAATATCTTTGTTTACAATGTTTTTCATAAATAGAAAATAGAAATTAAGTTTTAGGATGTATTTTAAATTGAATCATATGATAATGACGTATTATAAGTAAAGCTCACGTAATATATATAAGTTTTTGTGATGGAAAGTAATTAATCGTTTAATATGTTATTAGAAATAATTAAACTCCTAGTTTAATTGTAAAATATCACGATTATTTGACATATCGCGCGCAAATGCTCGTTATCCAATAAACAGCAATCTTCGACATAGTCTATTGAATATTTGCGCATGATCAGAAACACATTATGCTTAAAAACATATTATAATTAAATATTTAACAATGATTTTAGTTACAGCATTTAAATGATTAAATATAAATGTCAAAAAAAATATTATATATTATAATTAAAAATTCTTTCATAAAAAAAGCAATTTAAATAAAAAAATAAACATTTATTGTACATCAAATATTGTATACGTGACCATTACAAAGTTACAAAATTCTTAATTGATTTTTAAATATGTATTCCGTCATTTTCTAATATGCTATATTCTTATTTCAATATAATCCTACAAACCATTATGACCATACTACTACAATAGAAATGAAAAACAAAAAAGACGCGTAAAAAAAAAAAAGAAAAAGAAATTCCAAAGTTCATATAAGAACAAAAGAAAAACTTCTTGCAGCAGCTGCGAATATCTCAGGAGGGGACTGTTCGAACATGCGAGCTACGCGATGGAACAAAGATAAAAGATTTTCGAATAGGAAATGGAAAAAACATGAGGAAAGACGAGCGAGAAAGAGAGATCGATCGAGGGAACGGTGAAAAGGGGGTGAACGAAATGGAGTGAGAGAGGACATCGAAAGGAAAGAGGGAGGGAGAAGAAGACAGAGAGAGAGATATATATATATAGTTAGTTGAAACAGAGTGTACCTTTAACGCACTTCGTCCTCCCAGATCCTAGTCAGTCTAAAGCCGGCGACAAAACGGTGAGCATCGGCTAATTTTTTTATTATTTCTCTGTATAATCACAACTATCGTCCTTTCAGACCTATATTCCTTGGTCACGTGTTCGAGTCCAGACAAATTTGATCGATCGTCATGCCGGACTTCCTTGGAAAGAGATACAAGCTGTACAGCAGTGAGAATTTCGATGATTTCATGAAAGCGCTCGGTAAGTATGAATAAATAGTAAGTTAATTTGATTGTGTTTTAAGGCGGAAGAATGTTTCTTTGTGAGTCATACATGAATATAGACATGTTTTTAGAAAGTGCAGCGATAAATTCTATTTGCGATACATTACATATCATTGCACAAATTTTACACGAGAGATTACATTATCAACCAGTATCATTGCTGTCGAATAGCATACATTTTATATACCGCAATCAAAATAGAATATTCATAAAAAAACGTTACATATCATGTCATATTTCACAAAATGACATTAACGACATTTTGTTGCTTGATAAGATGAATATTCTAATGAATTTGATAAGAAAGTATTATACAAAATTATTATTGAAATATAATTATTGATATTGAGATTGCTTATAAAAATATTTTTAATGATTAATGTAATATGTTATTTAAATAAACTTATGATTTGTGTATCTATTATATAATATTAGATACATATATAATTAATGTTATTAAGATTAAAATAAAATAACAAATTTTAAAATATTTTGATATTGTCAGATAAACTTAAAGAACATGAACAACTAATGTTATAGAATGATCGGGAATTCCGTCACTAGAAAATTTAATTTGGCTACAAACGAACGATCTCATTTATAATATTAGATGTATTATAATGATAAATAAGATAATCAATTTTAATATGTTGAACTATGCTCCTATGGCTGTGCAACGACCTGACCTCACGCTTAATTCCCGCCATGTGCTACAGACAGAGTCCGATTGTACTCCAATTTAGCACTTGAATTAATTTACCGGCGAGATTAATAAATCGCAATTGTCAGTCGAATCGAACTAATGTATGGTACTTATAGAGTTGAGTTAATAAAAATATATTGACCGCATTGTAAAAGATGAAATAGAATTTCAAATAAAAGATAAGATACATAACATTAGAAAATTGTCAACAATAGTTGATGCGATGAAACAAACAAGTATAACATTAGAAAGTGCAAATAATTCATTTGTCATATAACTATCAACAGTTGTATAAGCGCGTCTGCAATATTTTCGCATTCTCATTACATTATAACTGGTTATTTCATAAGATTACCGGAAATTAAATAAAAGTACAAATTCATTTTGATCGACATCGCCCACACGTTGAAGTGTTGACGAATACGAATAAGGAATAAATTATTTCTTCCTCAAGTCAAGAGTGATTGAAAATTGTATAATATTTGGATATATAAAAATACGTATATTTTTCGCAAATTCGCAATGATTATATTTCAGATTTTGTATTTGTGATCATCTTTAAGAAATATGACTAAGAATATCAATGATATATAGTTATATAACATGAATCATGTTAAATATATAGTAGACTTTTATTTTTATAGACTACACATGTAAAAAATGTTGAAAACAAATATCATATATCCAGTGTAATTTAATTCGCGCAAACAAGATTACTGTAACTTTACAACTTTTGTTTTCAAAGATATGCGTGATGCATCGTAAAATCATAATAATCATAAATAATATCGCAGAAAAGTTCAAACTTCAAAGTTTAAGTATTTGCCATTTAAATTAAGATGCGAAATTATTTTCATTGTTCAGAATATAAAATATGATAATAGCACTGCTGGTGTTCAGTCTTAACTTTACTCTCATTGGAGACGCGTCACGCTTGATTCGTTCAAAATGCTGTCGGCCTTTTATAGAAAACGTTATAAACTCCAATCGAGTGAAAATTTTGACGAGTTTATGAAAGCTTTAGGTACGAAAATCTTTTTCGATTAAGTAAAAATTATTTTATATAAAATGCTTTCAATATAATTTAAAATTTAAATATTATAATTAAAATTTTTATGATTGATTTATAAATAATTAAGTTTAAAATGAGTTTTCAAATCTGTATATTTTTTAAACATAATTTTTTTTTTTTCTTTAGGTGTAGGTATAATGACACGTAAAGTGGGCAGTAGTGTGAGTCCCGTAGTTGAACTGACGGAGAATAATGGTCTCTATACGTTGAAAACGACTAGCCCATTCAAGAATACTGAAATAAAATTCAAGCTTGGCGAGGAATTTGAAGAAGAAACGGTAGATGGAAGAAAAGTAAAGAGCGTCTGCACTTTAGATGGAAATAAACTTATTCAAGTACAAAAAGGAGAGAAGCAGACCACAATTGAAAGAGAATTCTCATCAACAGAAATGAAAGCAGTACGTATGGAAAAAATATATAAACAAATTAGAAAGAAAAAAATTATTGCAATCTTTATATTTCCTTTATATTCCTTTAATGCAATCTTTAGATTTTAATCTTAGATTTAATATCTAATAGATTTTGATATCTTATTCTTTTATTATTATTTTGGTTTAATCATAAATATTGAATCTAATAAAAACTTGGAATTTAATAATCTTGATCATTAAAAAAATTAGAAGTTCAATAATTGAATTTCATTTTATGCAATAGAAATTCTAGTAGAGTTAAATGACACAACGAAAGATAACGGAGCGAACATCTAATGATAATAATGTCTATCATTGGTCAAAAGGTCCGCCAATTATTATGTGCTCTTCGTGACTTGAACAATGTAATAACAAGTTCAATAATAGAATTAATAATTGTTTCAAACTTGAAAGAGAGTTTTAAAAAAATATAGGATTCATGAAAAAAATGTATACTTAGATTCATATAAAAATAATTTTAAATATTATGTATAATTTTATATACATATATGAAAATTAATTTTTGTTTCATGTTACAGATCATGAAAGTTGATGATATTATATGTACAAGAGTATACAAGATTCAAGACTAAAAATTTTATTTAAGGAAATAACTTCTTCAATTAATGAATTATTTGATGATTTAAAAATTTTTTTCGCTAATGGCAATATAATATTTTTGACAAATAAAAAAAAGTAATATAAACGTTTTTTATACGCACAATAATACATGAATGTATAAATATCACTTATATTGTTTGAAAGATATGGTATTTCGCAATATAATACTCGATATTACGAAATATATGAAATATTACTAAGTAATTATATTAGTTTATATTCACATATATGACAAAGATTATTACATAGAGATTATTACATATTTAAAAATATATTGAAAATTTATATATTTTTTTATGCATCTTTAAATATCATTCATATGCTTTTATGTACATCATATTCATTGTGAGTATATTAAGCGAATTCACAATAAAGAATAGTTTTGAATTTCATATAAAGGCATTTTTTTTTTATGTGATACAATAAATGGAAAGCTTTAATTACAAATCTGATAAAATAAAAGAATATTTTGAAATAATTTTTAATCAATATTTATCATCTTATCTCCATTCCAAATTATTCATCAGGATCTATTACTGGAGAAATCTGAAATATTTTATTTGTATGTATGTTTATATTTAGCTTCACATTACATTTGTTAGTAAATATGAGCTTACATAATATTCTATGTAACATGTATGTCCTTCATCAGTCTTAACCATATATTGAAAACACAATAGTCCAAATGAATCAGTCCTCAATGAAACTTTATTTGCACAAGATAATGCCTTCATAGCTGGCTTAATATGTGTAAGTTTATAACTTGATGTAGCTGTTGAAGTACATTGGAAATTATCAATCAATTCACCATCATGTGGTAATTCAATATGACAAATTCCAGCTAAACCAGCTGTACTAATACGAAAGAAAGGTGGGGAAGGAGATAAAAATAGCTGTAATATTATCAAAATGTAAAATTATAGAGCTTATAATAGAATTATTAAACATTAAATTATGCTTTACCTCAATCAAATCACTACTTGAATCAAGCTCAGATAAGATATCTTTTAACAATTCAGTTTGAAGAACTACTTTATTCAAAACATTTTCCGGTTCAAGATGAAAATCTAACAATTCATCAGGTTCTTGTGTTTTTAAAGAACAATCTGTTATAATACCATCTTCTTCAATAAGAACTGTTACAGGATGTCCATTAGCCTATTCAAAATTTTTTTCTTATTAATATTTTTAACATATTTTAATTATATATATTCATAATATTTATAATGTATTTTAACTATACTTTATAAAAAAGTTGCAAAGCTACAGAACTTCCTTGGCAATTTATATTACTCCAAAACATACAAAGGCATTCCACTAATATATTTAAATTAACTTTAAAAATTACATCTTCTTTCAAATTGAATATTTGAAATACATGAGTTGGAATATAAGCACTAGCTTGCATACATTTTGCATCTTCTACAGTTATTTTCAAACCATTTTCAGTACCAAAACATGTAGCATTCTATAAATAAAATATAAATTTTTCAAATCAAATATATTTTATTTATTATTAAAAGTTTCAATAGAATATCTTAATATAATTGTACCTCTTTAAAATTAATTGCTTTTAATAATTGTACTATGGTTTTAAGATTTCCTAACTTTGCAACTAATGAATTAGTTTCTACTTCAGGATACATATTGTTTATTTGAAACTTGATATAATAACAAATTTTGAAATTGTTTTTCTGTTATATATTGATGAGATAATTTTCTTTTTGTAACTGCAGCTAACCAAGCTGCTAAAACATGTTTGCAAGTAAACAAAGATCTATTATTTAATACTTGACACCTAAAAATATTTCATTATTATTATGAGTATTTAAAAAATTTAAAAGTTCTAATACCTAAAAGAACCACAAATACAGTAGTTTATGTCAGGAAAGAGTATATATATTGTTCCTGACAATCCCTTAATCTGTACTAAATATCTGGAATTATTTCTATCACTATGAGGCGCAACATCAGGATTTTCAGAAGGAAAGATATGAGTTATACGTTCTTGTTCATATAATTCTAATGCTCTTTCAAATACATTACCAAAAATATTGTATAAATTTAATAACACATTATCTAAAACTGAAATTATTAATTAATATATAAAAAATTAATAATTATAAAATATTATATATATAATGCACACATTTTTGTTCTTTTTCAAAACTTTCAGCTGATTCTTTTAACACTTTATATACAAATTCTGCATATTTTATATCACATGTATTAAATGAAAAAGTATTTAATGTTTGATTGATTGATGATTGTTCAGTAACACTCATTGAAAATTGTTTGATTAAATCTTAATAATCTGTGTTAATATAAATATCCCTAAAGAAATATAAATAAAAAAAGAAAAATGACAAATTATAATCTCAAAGAATTATCTTAATATTATTTAATATCATTTCAAACAATTATACACGTTAAGAAATAACAATTAAGAAATATTCAAACATCTTCAGATTGTAATTATTTGTATTTCTATTTAGCCAACATAAATTATAGATTATTTCCTATATATAATTTTTTAATATGTTGGCATTACTGATAATTTAAAATTGGTTGATGGTAGCAATTCGTAACGTTTCTAACGGATGATACGTAGTGTTGTTTCAAAAAAATTAATAATAGGTGTAAAATTGAGTGCAATTAACACATTAGAATTAGAATATAAAAATGAGTCGACATAGAAGACGAGCTAATGATTTTATAGATTCCTTAGATAGCATTCGTAAGTAAAACACAGACTTACACAGTATTTAGTATTGTAATTTTTTTCGTAAATAATATATTAATCTTTTTTTATATAATAACCAAATAATATTCTTTTTTAGGACATTCTGAAATTGATTCTGATTCACTTTGTTCGATATCTCAGGACAATTCGAATGAAGTTGGAAGTAAATATATTAATACCAATGATAGTATAATCAGTGATATTAATAATAAATATTCTTCTACTCTAGTTAATAATTCTTTGAAACATTCCTTTACAGAAAATCTATCAATTTTTAAATCTGCCCCAGATTTAAATAAACGTATTGATTTTTTTCAAGTTGAACAATTATGCACTGAAATGAATGATAATAAAGAAAATGATAGTCCTCAATGTTCTATGAAAAACAATAATATATGTAACAAGTTGTCAAATACTATTAATACTAAAAAACAAAGTATAGATTCAAACATTAAATTAGAATCTAATCCAATAAATGAAAATTCAAAAAGGGATACCAATTACAATATAAACAATAATAAAACAAATGTAAATTTGTTCTCAGAATATCAAGATAAACATGTAAATAATGGAACATTTGAAGCAATTCTTTGTTCATTAGATGATCAAGTTCATCAAATAAGAGATAAAAAACAAATCTGGAAACGTTTATCTAACAAATTTATGCATTCACCAGAAAACTTTACTGAAAAGCTTTTAACTATCATCGAAGAATCTGTCATAAATAATGATAATGATGTAAATGAAACATCTGCGATAGATTTAAGTAGATTAACAACAGAATTCAGAAAAATGTGCAAATTTATAGAAAATGAATCTCAACCTGAATGGCCTGAATCACCAGTGTGTACTCTTTCATGTTTAGAACAAATATCTATAAATTCTACACATAATACACCTATTCATATGAAACAGAATAAAAATGAAATGTTATGTTCTCCCATAAATAGGTCTATATCTGTTACACCTATTTCTGGTATAGATATAATTAAAAAACGATTTTTTGCTAAAATGTCAAAAAATAATACCAGTGGAAGTATTGAAAATCTGAGTAGTACATCATTTGAGCATTTGGAAGCTCAATGTAACCAATTATTTCCTAAAGAAAAAGAACATTCTAAAACTTTATGTAGATCTTTATCAATGTCTTCTTTATTGAGTATGAGTGAGATCTATAATAAATGTGAGCAACAAATGGCATCACTGAATGTATCCATAGGTGATATAACTTCAGAAGAAAATATACTATTAAATACTCCAAAATCATCAAATAAATATTTATGTCAAAGTCCATCTTCAATATTTACAAAGAAATTAGAATTTAATTGTTCAACATTGAAAGAATTACACAGCAAATCAAAAGATGATCAATGTAATGATATTTCATATTCTAAGAAAAAATCTAGAAAAATAAGTGAAAAACCTGATTTCAATAAAACAATATCTGATAAGTTTAAAAGTAGTTTTGAAATATTAGATCCAGATGAATTAGAGAAAACACTTTTACAAGATATAGCAGAAAAAAGAAAAAGATGTCTTAATACAGCAAGAATTATTTCAGAAATTAATGCAGATCCTGAAGCAATAGAGGCACAAAAAACATTAAGAATATCTCCTGATAATGAATTAAATTCATTGAATGATGAAACTAAGTTTTTGCAAACTTTAGTATCTTGTAAAGATTATCAAACATATTTAGAAAAACATAAACCTCTTTTAAAAATACTTCAAAATTCGACTTCTAATGCAAATGAAAATAGTTTTAGAAAAACTCAAAAATCTGACATAAAATTTGAGGAAAATTCAGTTTTACAAAAAAAAATTTTAGGACTTTTAAGTCCAAATGTAAAATCTTGTAATCTACATAGATCATCACAATCAAAAAAACAAAAAGAAAAAAATGAAGAGAAAATAGAAAATAAAAAACCAAAACTTTTTGTCACACCAGGAGAAACTCCTCCAAATAAAAATAATAGAAAGAAAAAAGTATATTTCCCTAATATGCAAAGTCCTGTAAAACATATTGTAAAAAGTCCACATGCAGAAGGTTTATATCGATTAAATTATAATACTATAATATCACCAGTGGGTATGTATATAAGAGGTACTGATACACAACTTATAAAAAATATACATGCTAAAACAGATCAGTTATTGCTTACACCTGTGAAAAAAAATGTTGAAGTATCATTAAATAGAAATTCAAAACAAAATATTTCATCAAAAGGCATACATAAAACTGAAGGAATCACACCACTCAAGATTAATTTATCTCCTAAAGTAAATACAAATAAACAAGAGGTAAATATAAATTTTGTTTAAATACTATATTAATCATATTTTATTTTGTTAATTTTTTTTTTATTTTTATAAGACAACAAAAACTCTAGAAAATTTCAGTACACCTGAAAATCAATTTGTACTTCCTAGAGTTTCATATAAACTTCCTTTACAAATTAAAACGGTATGTTTTATTTTTTTATATTTTTTCTTTATTCTGAAAATGTGTTCATTCATTACATTTTTAGATAACGAGAAACAAATCATGTAAGCAAGGAACTCGCGTTAAGAAATTATTGGAAACTGCTCAAAGTAAAATTGTTATCCGACATCAAGGTACATATATATACAATTATGAAAGAATATATTAGTTTTATAATTTATGTTTACTTATTTAAAAAATTTTTCTACAGGTCGGATTAATTCGGTACAGAAAGGAAAGGACACAACAGATATTGGAATGTATGAAATTAATTATGAACCTGAAGATGAATCTATACATATTGAACAAACTGCTAATAAAACAAATTTTATTAATAAATGGAAAAATTAAACAGAATGTGAATTGCATATTTGCAATAATGTTGATATTTTATATTTTCATTATAATTGAAAAAAAGCAATTATTTTTAATAAAGTATATATAATCTTGTTTAATTTTTAATTATATTTTTTCCAAAAAAATTCGATATAAATTTTTCTCTCTTCAATTTATTAAGTAATATAAAATAATATTCATCAAAAAATTCTTCCTTAATTTATTCTTCCTTAATTTCATTTTATATTTCTAAAAGATTTCAAAGAAAAAAATAAAAATAAATATAATCATTCTAATTATAAACTGACCTATTATTTTCGTAAAATTTCTAGAATGAACTAAACTTAATTCATTTGAGCGTTACTGTTCTTATCTCGTAATGTTGTGTAACGTGCAACATTTCTCATTGGGCTCGTGCTGCTAAAGCAGGGATGTAAACTATACATTTGTACCTTTTATTTCCTAATCTTTAATAATAGAATTTGATAAAAATAAAAATATGTATTTTACACATAGATTGATTTAAAATAATAGAATTGTTATAGGTTAAAATTTTCTTTTATCAATAATTTCTAAAACTCCTATTGTTCTAATATGTATAATGCAAGATTTTAATATAGTAAGACAAAATAATATTTAAAAAATTATAAATATTTTAGATAGAACTTTGTATTTGGAAATATGTGAAATAGTTTAAAGTTATAAATAATATAAATAATTGCAAATATTAAATAAAAAAAATTAAAATTTTGAATAGTAAAATTTTGTATGAAGTTTGAATTGATACGTTCCTGATTTGCGCATGGCACGTTAGTTGCACACGACATTAAGATATGTTAGTATAAGAGCGTTCGTAGTAGGAGATGATCGATAAATTTGAACGAGTACGACCGAACTAACAAGTGATCAGTCAGCTTTCGAAGAATTTAAATCGTGATAATCATAATCATCTACAAGTGAAAATGCCGGGACCAGATTGCGATAAATGTGCAGGTAAGAATTAATTTAAAATATGAGAAATTTTATTTCTTTATGAAAGAATTTTCTTTCTATAATATATAAATTTTTATTGAAATTCTAATGTTCGCAATTCTTTAAATTATTATTAAATTTTGTTTATCTTAATATTTTTTAATGGGCCATTTTTTATTATAATATTAATTTGATGTGTAAATTTTTATACTTACTTTATATTATTTTTTGCTTGCAATTATTATTATTTATTATAATAGTATATAATAATAATAATATTAATATTTCGACATTTCATATTTTAATTAATAATATTAAATAATTAAAAATTTTTAGAAGATGCGAAATTTTTATGAAATTGATGATACAACAGTTTATGTTATTAATTTATAGAGGATATAGTGAAATAATTTATTCATTAAACGTTATTACGGGCAATATTCAATCCATGAGATTAACCAATTTATCTATATATTTTATGTATACTTAATAGAAATTTCCGCATTTATATTTAATAAAATAATTTAAGCTTTTTTTTTAAAATATTGATTTAAAAATCAATATTTAATCATCTTTTATTACAGATAAATGCCAAAAATGTCAATGTGGCGACAAATGCAAGTGTGGCGATTCCGGATGCGGTGGTAAAAATTTTTTATTTAAATTATTTTGAGATTTTTAATTTCAATTTTTTCAAATCTTTATATTATAAAAATTATAGTTTATTTCTTAGATTCTCTTGTAATTCTTGTAATTCTTGTAATATATAATTTATAATATATAAAAGTTTCATCGAAAGAATGTAGTAATAGTATTCTATGTTCACTGTATTCTTTTCTTTGTAAACGAGAGCAGTGACCGTTTAATGGTAACTATTATTCATGTCGGTTCTGCGTACAGTCCAGTTCAGTTTGCATTCCATGAAACAAATGATTTTTATAATTTTCACAAATTATTTATTTGAAAATTTTATATGCAAAATATTTTCATAACTTTTTAAGTTTTGAATTTTAAAAATTTATTACAAATAACTATTATTAAATATTTTCTAATCTTCTCTATATATATGCTGTTATAGACAAATGCTGCTGTAAATCTGGTGGACAATGTAGTTGCAAGAGTTGCAAGTGCTAATCTGCAAGCAGGATGCTAATAAATTGATCAGCATTAAGAATGAATATTCCAACTTTAAATATCACTATTATCTAGTTATGCTTTCTTTATTATGCTTATTCTTTAATATCATGAAAATTTATTGAAAAATCGAATTATCGAATTTATTATATTAGTATTATATGTATTAATAAATAAAAGTATTAAAAATTGTTTTTTTTTTCATATCTTTTATGAAATTATGTATTTTATAAAATTGTTAACTTTTTATTGAGTGAAATATAATAGAGACTTAACAAAATAAAATATTTAATTTTTTTTCTAAAATTATAATCAAACTTATTAATGATTTATTAATTTACTAATTATGACTTATTAATTATGAACTGTTTTAGCAATAGTTCATGAAAAATAATTAATAAATTAAGTAATTATTAACTTGAATAATACTTTTATTATTTTCATTGGAAGAAATTATACCGTAGAACATTTATATATAAAATTTATATAATTGTAGGAAATAAATAGAATAATATTTATCATTTGTTGATTTACCTCTTATAGATAAACTGATTAAATAGTAATAGTAAGAAAAAAATTTTTTTATGCCAATTTTATTTTTTTATTATTTTTTATCATTTTTTATTATTATTTATCATTTTTTATCACTTTTTTTCACTTTTTATTATAAAGAATGTTTCAAAATTTTTTTTATTCCTTTATAATAGATCAGACTCATTTGTTTAAATTTCAGTATTGTAATTGAGTGGTAACTCGTGTTAAAATATTAACGTTATATATCCGAGTATATCATATATTATGTGTTGTCAGATCATCATTCTAGAAATACAACAGAAAATATAGTATATTTTTTATATTAAAGATTAAGATATTGCAGTTTTGAAAGAAAATAAAACATGTTTAATTATATTTATTTTGTACTTTTCCTAATAATAAAAAATAATAAATAAAAAATAATAGTAATAAAAAATAAATAAAAAATAATATATAAATATCTTATAATAAAATAATGAATAAAAAATATATAAATATATATATTTTTATATATTATATTTATATATATTTTATTTTATAAATTGAATAACTTAAATAATTTAAATAATTTAATGACTAAATAAAGAAGTAAATAAATAAATAAATTGATATATATATAAATAAATAAAACATCTACAAAAAAATCTATCATTAAACAAATAAATTAATAAATGTATAAATAATTAAATAAACGAAGGAATAAATAAATAAATTGACGCATATATAATAAATGAAACTAAAAAGAAATCTGCAAAAAAGTTTCTACAAATAAATCACTAGATAAATAATCTAAATAAATTAATAATAAAAGAATATATAATATAAAAGTCAAATAAGTAAATAATAAATTAAAAATTAATAATATAATATATTAAATAAATTAATAAGCTACTCTTAATTTACTTTTTAATATATAAATATAATTAAAATATATTATGTAATATTTTAATTTTTCGCGTGATTTCGATTATAGAATTTGCTTACGCCAGCCAATCAGAAAGCCGTTAGGCGAACTGTAGCGTACGGCGTCAGTCTCCTGTGGAAAGTCATCGTGATAGGACGCGTATTTGTAACTAGCTTTGCTGATTTGAATACGCAATAGTAAGTAATTATATCATATTCTATTATCGAATTTATAAAATTTTATTAATTTTGTTTATTTAATAATTTATTCATTATTTAATATTTATTCATTAATAACGAAATTAATTAGTATTTTGAGTTTCTTTGTTCTTTTTGTGATTGAGATAGTTTATGCTTCGTTGAGATTCTTATTTGTTATTTTAACTTAATATAGTTTTTTTATACATTGTTTTACGATTTTGATTTTTATTTAAACAAATTGCTATTCGATTATATTAGATGTCGGGATTTTCAAACAGACTTCAAAAAGGAAAAATGATTTATAATACGTATTTATAATTTTTAAGAGATAATTTTGATATTTTATTTCTTTTAACAAAAATAGATTTATTTAGAAAAAATAATATAGTCTTTTTTATTCGCATTAAAACAGATGTATAAAAATTTTATTTTATCAAATTAAATTATATCAGTGATATGTATTGCGTTTCTAATGTACATCTAATATATTTAGAAACGCAATTATACTTATATCTGTATGATGTTTATATATTTTTCTTTCTTTTTCGTTCAATGTTATGCTCGAGGCTGTTGACATTTTTTTCATAATATGGCGTTTCTAAGCATTGGATTTGTTACGCTCGATATGTTTCGACATGTTTCGATTTGTTACCGAATTGCTGCGTATTTCTCTTCTCTAATTCATAATCGAAATTGTGAATATCGAAGTGTACATATTATCGATATTCATGGTGATAGTAATTTTATTGTATTCTTGACGTAATTTATTTGTTACGAAGTTATTACGTATATATTTTTTTTCTTAATTATATTTTATTATTTTATTATTTTATTATATTATTTTATTATTATTATTACTATTATTCATATATTATTATTCAACCAATACACGTTTATTACTATAATCTTATATCTTATATCTTTTGAGAACATTCTAAATTCGTTTTTTTTTAATTATCATTTATTTGACAATTATGATTTCAACTATTTCCGTTTGTTATAATTTTTTAAGATGGCTTTTGACTTTGATTATTAAATTAATAATTTTAATAATTTTCCTTGTAATGTTAATTAAAATAATTGATCAATTTTATACATTTTATGAGTTTATTTGACAAAAATTTTTTTTTTGTGGTTATTGTCTGATTACAACTGATCCAATTTCAAAGGTGAGAAAAGTTCCAATATGGATGCCATATTTTTTGAAAGAGAAAATTAATTTTTGTTGTATATATTTATTCTTATACGATCGATTTTTACTTTATTATTTCAAAGAATATTTATTCTTTCATAATGAACATTTATCACAAATTATTTAAATTATAATTAACCCTTCTGTTTAAATAATAATTTAAAAATATTTATTCTTATATGAAATTTTTTTTCATGAAAAATTGATAATTACTAATTTGTAAGTTAAAAAAAATAAATATTTTCTGAAATAAATAAATTCAGAAAGAATAAAAAATAAAAAGGAATGAGAAGAATATTTTTTTTTTGTAGATTCTCTTTTCCTCCTTCCTTCCAATACTAAATAGCTTTATTTTCAGAAGAATATTGTGACTGCGTATAATACAATCTGTAAAGTTAATGTTTGCTTCGTAATAGTTTTTTGATATTTTAAAGTGCATTGGTTTTAATTAAATTTATTTATTATAATTGCATAATCAGTGTTTGTTCGTCGATTGTAAATTAAATGGATGCGTAGTTTTTTTAATTTTATTTTTTTTAAATATTCGTTTTTGAAAATTATAGGATAGAGTCAGTGAGTTTTTTTTTTTAAGGAAAAAAAGCAAAGAAATAATTATTTTTATATATTTTTCATTTATTTCAATTTTTTTAAATAATCAGTAAAAATATTTAAATTATGGTATTCTACGTTTTGTTACAGTTTCCATTTCTTCGTATTCGATGGCTATTTTGCAATGATATTCTATAGATTACAGCAACATTGATGACAGAGTAGATTTTTGCATTTATTGGTAAGTCACATATATTTATGTTTTTCTAGTCATTCGATCATCGGAATAAAAAGTCCGAATTGACACGGATGACTAATTGTATACATAGATTTTGTACATAACCACGAATATTTATTATAGCCGTAAGTAATCAATTTTTTTTTGTGTTTTATCCATTAAATCAGGATAAATCTTTCTGAAATGTCATGTTTTTAACAAAATAATATTGAAAATTATGTATTTTAATATGTATATATATATATATATATATTGATTATTAAATTAATAATTTTAATAATTTTCCTTGTAATGTTAATTAAAATAATTGATCAATTTTATACATTTTATGAGTTTATTTGACAAAAATTTTTTTTTTGTGGTTATTGTCTGATTACAACTGATCCAATTATAATATATAATATATAAATATAATTTAAATAGTAAAATTATTTTAATATATAATTTTTTAATGTTTAATCATTAATGATATAAATGATATAAAAAATTTTGATTACCTATGATTGAAAATATATATTTATATTATACATTTAATGTACCAATACATATAATGTATATTATATACATATAATGTATATTATATACATATAATGTATATTATATACATATAATGTATATTAGGTAAATATATACAATCTTTCCTGAGTTGTGAAAATAAAAATATCAATTATTATATCAATTGTTATTATTTAATAATTATGATAGTGCATATCATTGTATTATAATAATAACAAACAATTTTTAATTTTATTTTCTGTTTTATTCTAATATTTAATTTTTTGGTTTTTAGTTATAAATTTAAGTAATAATTTGAAATATTTAAAAATATTTTATATTCCAGATTGTTTTTTCTTCTTTTTTTTTTAAATTATTGTAATAATTCTTTAAATAAATTTGTTTTAGATTAGATTTTGTCAGAATGCATGAGTCTATCATCAATTGGAAAATAATTATATTTTTTTAATATTTTTTTTTTTACTAATCTATAATCTTATTTGTTTCAGAGATCAATGTGGAATCAATGTGGAATTAATAAAGGATTCTTATATTCATATTATCTTCTGGTTTTATTGAGATTTTTTGGTAGATAGACTTCCTAAATAAATCTTTAAATTATTGTGTAAGAAAATTATTTCTTTTAGATTTGAGTATTAAAACGAGTATTAGTTAATTATGTAGATAGGGAATAGAATTGTAGATTTAGATGATATTATTTCAATATTTCTTAAATCAGGTCATATTGTAAATTTCATTTACAAATATTTTTAAATTTAATTAAGTTAAAGAATTTATGAAATTTTTCCAAGTAAAAGATTTAAAATATAAATAATAATAATAATAATATTAATAATATAATAAACTTATAGCACTACAGAAATACTGTTTAAAGTATATTTATAAATGCATGCATAATAAATGATAATAGTAATGATTGTAGCTGCTATTAAAAGTGATGGTAGTCAATAAAAATAAATATAACTCTGTGTGGAATATATTTGATTTTTTTTGATTCTTTAACTTTGTAATTGTCAATATTTTACATTTTACATTTTCGTGACAATGAATATATAAAATATTATACGTACGAAATAATATATTTGTGTCTTATAAAGTATATAATTAATACAATTATAATTTAATTTTTACTTTTAGGTTTAATTTATCTTGTCAGTTTTCCTTAGGATTTTATTTGTTATTGATTTTGCAGAAAAATCAAAGATCGATTTTATAAACAAACAGAAGATAACATTAATTTTAAACAAATTTTTCTGTGAAAAATAGCGAATAGGATCGTAAATAGGAACATTAGATCTATCATGTGACAAGATAAAGTAGGATAAGAATTGAGGAACAGTGCCATCTTTCGAGAGTGTACTATCAAAGGGTGGCGCTAATCCTCAATTCTCATTCTATTTTATTCTGTTTTTAAAGAAATGTTTCTGGTATTCAAAAGATAGCGCTTATAATCACTTCTTACTCTACTTCTACTTTCTTCCACTTTCTACTCTTACTTATATTAATTTCATTTATGATATTCTGAAGATGGCGTTGATTTTCATATTTTTATCATATCTTTATCCTTTTTTCACTATTTGCTCTCCTTATTTATATTTAGTTTATAAAATATATGCATCTTAAAGACTATCGATATTTAATTAAATTTATTGTTTTCTTTGTCTAAATTATTGATTAAAAATCATAATATTTGATCTTATTATTATATATAATAAGTATATATTTTACACATATCTCTTTTTGTAAATTCATACTTTTTTTTTCTTTCTTAATCATTTATCATATGCACAATCCTGATACGTGGCATTGTGCATCCAAAATTTAGTCGTATAAAAATTTATATTGTGTTTGCTTATAATATAATTTTATAACGCAAAACTATTTAAACTTATCATAAAAGAAGTTACATGTATTTAACACGAGAATCGCGTAATTTCATTTCTCTTTGTGTCTCTTTCTAATCGAAAATGTACGGGAAGGATTTGGCGTTCGCATTAAATATCGAGTAAAGTGCACATAGTTTCCTGTATTTACACAAACCGTGTTGGTCCTTGCCGTGTCGTAGAACAGAGAGAATGATTGAGTTCGCCGGTTTCAAACAGAGTTTACAGGATGGGTTCCTGTAAACGGTTTCACCAATGAGAATTCAGTTGATAGATTGTCTGTCGATCTTCTGTATCTTTATACAGTACACGAATTAATTCTAAGATTCGAATATTTCAAGTTTGACGAATATAATTAGACAAAGAAAACAATAATTTGAATTTAAAAATATTGATATTAATTTAGAGAATTCGTTAGAATTTCTAAATTAGAGATATTATTTAAGAATAATAAGTTTTTTCACGGACGGATAGATATTATCGGATGAAAATAAAAATCGGATTTAAATCGATTTGATTTCGATCGAGAAGCGATACGAGTAATTCTGTCACGCACAATGGACGAAACGCTCCAGAATCAGTTTCTATTTTTGAACAAATATCGATGTATAACAGCGATATTCGACTGTACGAAGCGGTTACGAATCGGCGGCGCTCCTTTAATTGATAACCCGATTAATTATGCATTCGGACTTTGAGCGCAACACCAGTTCACCAGTTCAAACAAGGGTGGCAAGTCGTCCGGAATGCGGCATGCAAAGTGCCGCTTGCGTGCGAAACGGCTGTGAGCTAACGTGGCTTTTGTTAAAAGCGCTTAAATTTATAATGACCACCGTTATCGGCCGTCGTGATCGAAAGGTACGACGACCAAATTTAAGGATGCAGGAACGGAAAATTTGATCGCGATTTAATTATTTCAATGTGAATATACTATATATATATATTAGAAATTATATTTTATCCGAATATCGTTTAAAATTTTTAAAAATTAGTAAACGTTAGATACGTTTTTCCTCGCGTTCAGATATCATTCAGTCGCGAAGTAGCGAGTTTTTCGTGAAATTACTTTCAAGGATTTTAATACGAGTTATATAACGCGAAGTCGTATAACTTGGTGCAAAGTAGGCGAATGGGAACACGTTTTTCTTCTCTCGTATCAAACAATATAAGAAGGAAAAAAAGAAATTATAGCTCACGAAGGCCTATAAACGCGAGGCGTTAAGAAAAGCGACGAGCAACGAGGGGACAGCAACTTCTAGCTCGCGAACGGGGAAAGCTCGAGACGTTAACGACACCCTGCGCGGCTTTAAAAACTAATATTTTCATCATTGTTAGTTTTTATGACAGAACGAGTAACGGTTCCTTTCGTTCATTTTAAATCGAGGATTTAGATGGAAGATGAAATTATTAGATGATTGAAAAATAATTCTTACCTTTGGAATATTTAATTCTTCTTCTAAATTCTTTATCGTTGTTAATCTTTATGAGGGAATACGTATTCGTTTCGTTCGTTTAAATCAGATATAGTAGCTGGAAGATAAAATTTTCATTAATTTATTTATTAAAAAGATAGTTTCGCTACTTTTGAATTCTTCAATTTTTCTTTCTAACAAAATAACACTTAAATTTTGCTCGCTATTCACATTCGTTAACGCATTCGCGTTAGTCGTATTTAAATATTTGTCGATATATCTTCCGGTAAAGTAACACTTGTATTTACAGTTTCTTCTTTATTCGTCGATGCATTTCTAAATCGCGACTCGTTTAAATATTTGTGGATATTTCGCTGCTCTTTCGCATTCTCTGCATCCCGCACCAGTTAGAACAGTTTTTCAGGGAGACGGTGGCACAAGTAGCTTGAAGCTTGAAGCTTGAAGGTGAGATCGTTAGCGCGAAGAGTGTGACTTCGCATTGTGACTTGAAGTATGTCTTAAGTGTTAGTTTATTGTTACCCGCTACCCGGTGGGCAGGCTTCTCTTACATATTTAACCTGGTCCATTAGTGCCCAGTCGCGTTTATGTTTCGAAATGCTGTAAAACGGTCGTGAAACGTTGCCGAGTTGTCGCGTTGATACGTTTTTATCGTGCATATAGTATAGTTTTAAAATGGATTTAATTTTTTTGCTAAAATTTATTAATAACTGCAATTTTTTTTCCCCATTGAATATAGTGGAAAGGTGATGACGAAGAGATATACAAGAAGAATCTGGATTGCAGATATGATAAATTATCGATTTAAGACCAAAAAAACAGTAGGATACACAATTGGATTATAAGGTACGATCGATAGATCCTATTAGATTTTCTGTTAGATCCGTGAGTGAATCGTTTAATTTCAGAGTCACAATTTATCTTCAAAGATCGAGGAAGATACGCACGTATTCAGATTACTATCAAATAAATCTCATTTCGATTTATTTTCTTCTATAACTTCTTTAATTTTCTTTAGAAATATCTATTCTCTTGTTGGAAGTTTCTATCTTTAACTCGATCAAAGAATCGACGGAAATAAAGGTCTTTAAGAGAAGGAAAAGGCAATTTGACCGACCGAGGACACGTGGTAGGCGGGCTCATTAAACTTTTCGTCGTTTCATCCTTTGGAGGAATCGTGTCGAGAGCAACGGCTCCCGCGGGAATACCGGTGTGGCGCGATTATACCGACCGCCAAGAGAGAGCCATCCCAGGAAAGGATTATACGGCGTAAGGAGGAAGGGTTAAAACAGTCCTCCATTCCCGCCACCCACCAGAACTTCGAATTCGAACATTTTCATCCAGCCAATCGAGCGAGCAAAAACTGACACTCTTCCACGATCGAAACTTCTCGAAACCGTGTTTTACCAGGAATTAGCAGAAAGTTGGTCGAGAAACTCGTGTTACGACGCACCAAGACGAATGCCCGTTATCCCCGGAACAAGCTGGGCGAAGGAAAAATAGCGAGTTGTCAGTTATAAGTTTCCGAGTTGTTCCGCCTCCTCTTGCTCGCTTGTCATCCCGTGTTTCTTCGTTAATGTAATTGACCGGCGGTGAAAGTGGCGATCCGGCAAGTAGATGATACATGAGACCGGTATGTACGGTTTCCTACGAGACTACTTCGGTTTCTTTTCGCCGACGTCTCGTCGTCCAAGCTGGTCGCGTCCGATTTATCGAATCGACGGTAAGACGATACGATACGATACGATGGATCGAATTATATACGCGAGGAGAACAGGCTCTATGCCAGCGTGCATTGAGTTCCAACCGCAGCGTCTCGAAACGCTTATTCTCTGATTACCGTGTTTCTCCAACCGTTGTCCATCCGCCATCGATTCTTTCCTTTTAATTTTAGCGCGCCCTCGAAAACGAAATATATTTTTTTTTTTTTCCACGCGCGGTTAGTCACGCAGAGTAGAAGAGAAGAATTATATACGTGTCGGATCGTCTCGTAAAGATAAATGTTGAAAACGTAGGGAGGGGGGGGAGGGGGAGAGGGGAGGCGCCTAATTAAAGCGTCTCTCGAAAACGATTTTCTCGGTTCTTCTCCGCGGCGGGGAATAAACCGAAGAGTCGGTTGTTACCATAAATTCTTAATTCCGAATCGGCGGTAAAACTGAAAGTTAACCAAGTTCGGTAACATTAGCCGTAACAATGCTCCCAGTAAGTTCTTACGGTAACGATGCTGTAACGACGGTTTCCGGACCGTGGCAATTTCTCGCGATAAAGTCACCGATGGGACCCACAAGAATTAAACTTGCTCAAGGGTTGGGTTTTGTCGTGGTGGTGCACCACGCGTCGCATAGGGATTAAAATTTTACGATCGTCGTATACCTCTCTCTCTCTCTCTCTCTCTCTCTCTCTCTCTCTCTTTCTTTTCTCTTGTACTTTTTACGCGCGAAAATCTGCACGACAATGGAAAATTCGATAATTTATCAAAGTAGATTTCGATCGAAAGAAAATTCGGACGAGAAGTCATCTTGTCCGCGACACGAGAGGACAAAAATGATTTTTCTCTCTCTCACTCTCTGTTAGCTAATAGCGGAGCGTAAATTAATCGGGAAATATGCAGATATCGCGTAGAAAATTTTATTCCAAATTCCTACGTAACCGTGCTATTATGGT